GCAGTCAACACGAGCTCCGGCTGGTGGGGCTCTGTGTCATGAGCTGCCGCAGCCTGGCGGCCAGGCAACATACGCTGGATTTTGCACTGGCATTTCTAGGATTTGGCCATGCTCAGGAGCAAGGGTCTGCACTTATCCTCCAAAAAATCGCCAGTATGTTATGGGCGCAGCAGGGCCACCACAGCCGCGTGCGCGAGGCTGGCGCATACCGTACCGCAAGTTCGTTGCGCGCCCCCTGCACACCCCACGTGCGTCGTGCGTGAGGGTGCGGGCTCCACCTTGGCCTTTGCGCGACTCCAGGCAATCCTAGACGCCAAGCTTTACCAGTTGGCATGAGGGCGGTTTCTGGTCACAAAACGGCATCTGGTGTGTGTACGGGGATTCGCGCGCACAATCATGGTGCATTGTGTTGCACAAATGCATGTGTGTGTGCGTATGTGACATTTACCGTGCGCAGGAATTCAAACAGTGCAGAAATCCAGAGCATATCTGTGGACATCTCGCACCTGGGATACTTGTCAAAGGTGGGCGTGGTGGGGCGGCCCCTGCCAGGATACTCTGTCCCGTTGAATGCAGTGTACCCCCCTCATGCTGCGGGTAAGTGCGTCGGCCGTCACTTGATCTTGTTGTATCACCAAAGTTGGCTCCTTCGAGGGTTTGGCCCATCGTCACCAGCCGCAACACCGTCCCACTCGGCAGAAAACGCTCGGAGTCGAGCTCCAGAGTTCACGCTTGCACTCTCAAAAAGTATAAATTAGCTTAGTACGGCACGCGTGGACACACGCCGCCGCTGTATCAAAGATCTCTACCTCCCGGTGCGAGGCATACATCGCGGGGTTACATCGACACGTGTGTCGATTGAGTGTCCGCAGCGTTGCGACGCATGATGTGGCTATGCTTATGCACCGGGACACTGGTTGCCTGTGCCCAGTCCACATCTCGCAGCCTGCGCGCAGCCGCCGCACCCACGTACTGCTGCCGTCCCGAAACAACCCCACAGCCCCTCCGCTCGCCCCGCCCACCATGACTACTGGCACTCTCGCCGAAGGTAAGCTGGTGGGCAAGGGATTTCGGCCGGCCTCATCATATGGGAAGATATCGCCCCGCCCCAGCTGGCGCAGAGGTTGCTGCCCACTGCAAACCCGGTTACACCCGCACAACCCTCTCCAAACAACCCTGCTGGCACGATGCCCCGCCCACGCAGCCCCTGCTGGCTCCAACAACGGCGTCCACGCCGGCGAGGGCTCCAAGTCGTACAAGGCCTTCCTCAATGTGAGCCGCAGCGTAATAATATAGATCACATGATGACCCCGGGGGAACCGCGCCGCGCAGCCCGCGCTCCCTCCGTGCTGGTACACGAGCAACCCCTGATGTGCGCGTCACACACCCGTGGCGCGTTGGCGGACTCACCACCAAGACAGCCTTAAGCGACCCGCTCGCGCACGCCCCTCTGCCTCCCAGCGATCACGCCGACGCCCCGCCCGCGGCCGACCAACCGCCCCGCCCCCTCGCCTGTCCCCGCCTGTGTGCGTCTGTGCAGGAGGCCTTGGCGGCGGCGGAGAAGCGTGACCCGGGGCAGCCTGAGTTCATGCAGGCCGTCCACGAGGTGCGCACACATTCAAAGAACCCCTGCCTGCGCAGGCCATTGACCGCCGCAGCTGCTCGCACGCCCCTGCTGCGGCGAGGCATGCGCTCGCAGCACCTTTGATGCACCAAGCGCCGCTGCGGCGCCCTGCGCCGACGCGCAGCCGCAGCCCCCAGCCGTCTTCCAGTGCTTCATCCGCTCAAAACACGCCGGTGCTCCCTTGCAGGTGCTTGCCTCCCTGGGGCCCGCCCTTGAGGCCAACCCTGCCTACCTCCAGGCAAGAGCGTGCAGCACGCCTCACAGCTAGGGCTTCGCAGCGCAGGGTTGTTTGGGGAGCAACCGCACGCCCAGCCTCCCCGTGCGTCGCCTGGCACTCCACTGGTCCATGTGTAGTGCCGCCCGCACCCTCTCATGCCCCCGCCTGCGTGCCATCCTGCACCATCCATCGACCGCACCCCTCTCTCCCAAACCTGCAAGTGCCAAGCCGGCGCACCCGGGACCCACAGGCGGCCGAAGCGCCGACCCCAGCAAACCCTCAACCCTAACAACTCTCAACCCCTCCATCCTGCTTGCAGGTCATCCCGCGCCTGCTTGAGCCCGAGCGCGCAATCATCTTCCGCGTGCCCTGGACCGATGACGCCGGCAGGGAGCGCGTCAACAGGGGGTTCAGGTGCGCGACCACCGGCTCGACGCCCCGCGGCGGCGGCGGCGCGCGCCCAGGTGCTTGCCTCAGCGGCAGTGCTTGGCAGCCACACGCAAGCAGAGCGGCTCGTGCGCCGAGCCGCCGCTGGCTGCCGTACGGCACGCGGCGACTTTGTGTCTAAAGAGCGGTCGGCTCAGATCACGCAACCTGGTTGGTTCGCAGGGTCCAATTCTCCTCGGCCCTCGGCCCCTTCAAGGGCGGGCTGCGCTTCCACCCCTCGGTCAACCTGTCGGTCATCAAATTCCTCGGGTTCGAGCAGGTGGGGCTTCTGAGGCTGAGGATGCGCCGGACATTCAATTGTGAGAGGGATCAGGGCCGGGTGTGGTCGCTGCACTCGGCAGTGGCGCGCCATGGCGTTCGTGCGGTCAGCACTGGGTGGCTTGCTGACGCCAGCTCAGCAAACAGCACTGGTGCATGTCCAGAACAACGCACACCAAGCCCAGGGGAGGTCCAAGTCGAGGG